GAAAAGCCCCGCGAGCGCCTCGGCGACCCTGCGCGAGACGAATCTCACGAGGATACCGGAGTACTCGCGAGAGTGTCCTTCTTCGACCTTGGGCAAGGTCTGGTGGGAGGTAGAGGGAGAGAGGAGGGTAAATTCCCTCCCATCTCTCTCCCCACCATTTCATCATCGGAGTCCTTGCCCCCTCTCAGTCTCAGAACCGAGACCTGAGGCGGGACGCCTGACTCCTGAGACATCTTGGATGTCTCCCTACCCTGTCTCTCAGCTGAGAGACCTGATCTCGCTATAGCGAAATGATCCTTCCAATGGTCGTCATAAATTTTATAATGCGTCATTTTTGTGTAAATCCCACGACCCACTGCGGCTCCGCTGACCGGGCATGCTCTCCAAGTCCCGAGTTTCCCCGGGAGGTCAACATATGGCGCGGGCACCGGGAAAAAACATCCGGTGCACTGGCCTCCGGCCCCTTACTCACCCCTGGTTTTACCCAAGGGCTTTCGGAAGTCCCACACCTCCGACAATGTGGGCACCGCAGTGGGTGCAGCTACGCGGAGGGCCCCACGGACGGTTAGGGCGGGGAGTGTTGCGACCCACTCCGCGCCTTACCCGCCGTGGCGACCAGCGAACAGACTCCTCGACCGATCACTCCGCAACCGGTAAAACCGGGACGCACTCCGGTAGTAATCGGTCCTCATTGCTCGACCCTGCCTCGGAATACTTCCGAGTGGCCCGAGCAGCTACCCTCCGCTTTCCGACCCCGCCTCGGAATACGTCCGAGCGGCTCGGAATGGCCCAGCCCGACGAGCTCGGGAGTTTCGGGACATCGACGGCCCGTCGCTTTCCTTCACGACCGCGTGCTCGAGGACCACGTCCACGAGCCGTTATGTCGGAGAGGGAGAGCCGCAATTGTGGGACACCGCTTCTCCCCCATGTCAGACCGCATCCTTTCCTCTCCCAAAACCGGAAGAGGAAGAGTCGGTCCCAGACACAAGGAGGATCGGCACCCACATCCACCCCTTTAGACAGGTCACCGAAGTGACCCACCAAAGATCCGTTCCTCCGGAGCAGCAGCCCCAGCTAGGACGGGTCCAACCCTGGGAGGAGCACTCCCCTGACCAGCCGTCCCACAGGGCTAACAAGCCTGGCCGCCCGTGCACGGAGGAGAGATGGAAATCTTCCCTTAACGGTGCCGTGCCACCGGGCGATTGAAGTCAGGGCCGCCAACCCCTACCGGCAATTGGGACAAGTCCCTGAGGGAGTTGCCGAGCTCCCGTACCCAGTATAGAAGGAACTGTGCGCTCTTAGCACCGTGAAACGACTCCAACGAGTCGCCCCACGGTGAGCCTCCTCACCACGACAAGGTGGCGCACAACGAGGAGGTAACTATGCGTATACTGTAAATATTTAAAATATTTAAACATATTAAATGCATGCTCAAAATACTATCATTATGTTTATCATGTTTTACATTTTTTGTCACAACTATTAATAATTAATGCAAATTACCTGGTTTCAGCTTCGTGACGTTCCATGAAGATTTAGACGCCTTAGATTTGGAAGATGTGTATTCTTTTCTTACTAACAATTCATCTAGTTCCGCTTTTTGAATGAATATGTTAAATTTAATATCGTTCACTTCAAAAGAAGAATTTTCACTAGTGCTGTTTTGCGTACCTATATCACTAGTGATGTTTGCCGCGTCAATATTTTCATGCAACTTACTTGTTTGCAACCACGATTTTACGCCATCCTTGTTGCACGATACATATGTGTACCAGGCCAATGGTGTTTTTTTACCTTGTAATTCTTGCGATAAGTTATCCCAGGTCTATATAGTTGCCCCTCCCCCCTAACGCAAATCGTAAAAACATTTATATATTTGGATTGTACATCGTTTGTACATAAATGTACTATGATTTTTATCGTTTGTACATTCTTCGTTAATTTTAAAGAAAATTACAAAGTTTTCATAACAGTGCTAATGATAGTTAGCTCCCCCCTATGTCGCAATTACGTGACGTATACTATAATTTATGAATTTATCGTGCTTAATCGTTTGTACGTCGTTTGTACATTATTAATAATCGGTTAAATTCATATTCCAACATTTTGTTTTTGTTTAAAACGCAAAATAAATAATTTTATTTGAATATGGCGGGTACGGAGCACGGAGCGGGTGCGCATGCGTTTTAGTTACTTCCTGCTAGAAAATGGCAAATAAATCTTCAAAGTGCATATACATTAATGTCAATTTTACCAACATCAAGACTGAAATATGATAGTCAACTGCTGAAACGAAAAAAATCACTAAAGTATTTCATGTAAATGCTGTAGGCCATGGCGCTTAGAGAAACGCTAGCAGTAAAATTTAAGCGGTAAACAAATTGGCTAATCAATCTTACGTTTTTGAGAATACTGCACTGTAATTGGTTCATTTGTTTACTAATTAAATTTTACTTATGTTTCTTATGTTGTCATTGCACTCATTTACAAAATCATTGGTTAGGGCCTATCCGGACAAACTTACATAGTCGCATAAAGATATGCATAAGAAAATTGATTAGTCCATTTCCTTATGCATCTGCTTATGGACCAAATTTTATCATATGTTTATGCAATTATAGCAAGTTTTATATTTCATTTCAACAATGTCTTACCGATTTAAAAGCTAGAGTTTTTTGTCCACATATTTATTTTTAACTTGTTAGTTTTAACAGAAAGTTGGGTTTCTACATGTTTTACAGTTTCCTAATGCGATAAATTCAATAAATAAGTGTTGTTTTTGGTAGAGCAGTAGTAGCCGCGGGATGTCTGTTTTTTTGCACATTTATTATTGTCACTAAAGACATATACTAAAGACAGGAAAGTGGCTCTCGGTTAAATTCGCTTAAACTGTAATGTTACATTGGTGTTTTGATCAAAAGTCACTTCTGGGCACAAAGCTTAAAAATCAATAGTTTTTAGTCTAGAGATGTTGAAGTTCTAAACTTTTACTATGCCGAGATTACAGCCGTAATATCATGTCGGATTATGTGTGTTTTTGTGTGTATGTGGATGTGTGTGTGAGTGGGTATGTGTATGTGTATGTGTATGTGTGGTTGTGTATATGAGTATGTACTTGAGTGTGTGTCTGCGTATGTGAGCATGTGTATGTCTGTGCGTGCGCCTGAATGTATGATTGGCTTAGATCAAGTGCCATTTCAAAATCTACAATCAAGAAAACTGTACAGACCATCTTTATATTGGAATTGTAAGTACGTGCACACAAAGTGTGCTGTAAACGTAATTAAAATTAAAATTTTGATTAGACATATACAATCTATTTTTTATTTCAATATTTGTAATTAATGCCAATAGAACTAATTTTTTTATTAAAAAATCTAATATATATTTATAATTTCTTATAGCAAACGAAAAAATTATGAGCTTACGTTATTTAATGATCCTATGCCGAATCCTTTTGCATTGCATTTGAAAGCAATATTTATGATGGTATGTCACGAGACTGTCATATAGTTTATGTCTTATTAAAATATTTAAGGTCTAGTTTCAAAACGATTTTGCTTTAGGTCTGCCAACATTTTTTGTTGCCGATCCAGTATAGTCCAGGGCTTTAGCGTGGTTATCTATTCCATCATATCGATGTACACTAAACATCCAACGCAATATACTGCTATCAGAATGCTGCACTTACTGGAAAACATCCCACTCCTGGATTCTTCATAACATTGGAAAGAAAAACTATTTGTGAATAATATAGCTAAGGAAAACCTGAAAAAAACTAAAACAAAGCACATTTGAAATAATCAAAAGATTATGATTTATGTATAACTAAATTTTTCACCTCTCTCAAGCTAGCAGGACCAAAATCAGCAAAATCAAATCGGACCTATCGGAATTTTTAGTACCCATTTTGTACTATTTTGTACCACAAAAAATAATTTTGTACCTTATGCCATTACAAAAAAAATCGTGGCGCTGCTAACTTGATATCAAGCTAGCAGGACCAAAAAAAAAAAATAATAAAAATAAAAATTATAACATATTCTTTTAGTGCAGAATTTGTACTAATTTGTACCATTCAAAAAATATCAAACAATTTCCATTAACCCCTTAAAACAACCCTCATTTCGTTTAACCTACAAAATAGTCCATTTCACTTTCAATTTCTTAGGAATTTAATTAGCGAAATTAAACTAAATTTATCCCATTATTTACTACCCATTATGTATTACTTTGCACCACCGGAAATAATTTTGCACCCCTCGTTATTTAAAGAAAATTGTGGTCTTGCTAACTCGACATCAAACCAACAGAATAAAAATCTTTCAAAAACCAAAAATAAAAGGAGATTCTATTAGTATTTAATTTGTATCAATTTGTACCACCCAAAAACATTAAATTATTTTTATCAACCCCTTAAAACAACCCTATTTTGTCTAATCTAAAAAAATAAGTCTTTTTTTCCAATTTTTTCAAAATTTTATTATCAAAATTGAACTAAATTAATTGTATTATTCATTATTTGTCGTGTACTAATTTGTACCACCAGAAATAATTTTGTACCCCTCGTTACTTAAAGAAAATTGTGGTCCTGCTAACTCGACATCAAGTCAACAGAATAAAAATCTTTAAAAACCAAAAATAAAAGGAGATTCTATTAGTATTTAATTTGTACCAATTTGTACCACCCCAAAAAACATTAAAATATTTTTATTAACCCCTTAAAACAACCCCTATTTTGTCTAATCTAAAAAATAAGTCTTTTTTTCCAATTTTTTCAGAATTTTATTATCAAAATTGAACTAAATTAATTGTATTATTCATTATTTGTCGTGTACTAATTTGTACCACCAGAAATAATTTTGTACCCCTCGTTACTTAAAGAAAATTGTGGTCCTGCTAACTCGACATCAAGCCAACAGCATAAAAATCTTTAAAAAACCAAAAATAAAAGGAGATTCTATTAGTATTTAATTTGTATCAATTTGTACCACCCCAAAAAACATTAAAAATATTTTTAATCAAACCC